AGATATCATTTCTTTTCAAGATTTCAGCTTGACCATAATGGGCTATTTTCCTTTGTTTTGTTCCGTCAGCTTGGCTGGCAATCATATCACCAACTGGAATTCCGGTGTCGTCATCTGGCTGTAGTATTTCATATTACTGTTCATGGTTGCGTTCAGATTTCCTCACTCTTTTTGGAAAGAATGTGTACAGGTTCATAACATTATATAATTGTAATTTTCTCCCCCTTCGCGTTGACTCTTACCTTCGTGTTTATGGTAGAAATTTTTCCCACTACATTAGAGCAATCGGCGCTGTCTATGAGATCATGTTAGCCACTGCTTCAGCGTGCTAGTATTTGTCACCTGAATGACCAGAAGGAGCTTTTAAATCTGAGGAGTCCTAGAGGCATAAATTATGAATTCATAAGACTAATATGATGGGCCGGATTTATTATATAGAAGTCTGTAAAGACCTTGATCGCCATCTAGCTTGGCCACAGCAAAGCCTAATCTTTGTCGAAATGTGCTTCGATCTCATTCAGCAAATCATAACCCTCTGTGTGCAGCTTTAGTGTTGTTGTATCATTGTCAGGCAAAAACGGAAATAAACTCTCACTTTCACTAAGACAGGAAAAACTTAGAAATAGCGTAGTCATGCATTTGTTTTTCCAGCATGCTCTGAAATGTAGTGCCTGGTTTTATTCATGAAAGGTATTTTTGGCCCCATTATTCAGCCTGGGTTTCTCCTTATCGACATTACAGTTGTCAGCCAACTCTCAGTAACTGTCAATGTCCAACTCTTACTACGCTGAACCTCACGCTGTTCCTGAAAGACTTTCATAAACAATTTGGAATAACCAACACGAAAAACCGGAACACAGATTGGCGACTCGAGAATCATTTATTCTTACGCCAATATGTAACCAACAATAAGGTTATTATACACAAGGTCTAAGAATAAATGTTATAAAAATAAATAACAATAATACTTCTGATAGTATTTTCTCCGTCTTCCAATGAACAGGGAACGATGAGACGATGACTGCTGGATTGATGACTCCTGCTAAAAATATAGAGTTGTATTTGAGCAAACAACCATAAATCGATCGTTCGATCTTCAACTACATTGACAACAGTCTTCCTATAATGGTACTGTTTCTTCTTATGAAAAGACCATTTCAATACTATTCTGCGGAATATTTTTGTAAGTGCAGAGAGATAAGCATCATAAGGGAATGTGTTCATTTGTGATTTCTACGTATTAAAATACTGTTTCTTGTTAGACGATGTATTATGCTTCTACTGACCTATAAGATAGACACACTGTCTATCGATAAACTGTAATAGCCAGCTGGCATACGGACAAATGTGCTTTCAATGAAAAGATGCCAGTATGAATATCATTTTTTAGAGTTTAGTGTGAGCAAGCAGACACCTCGGATATGCTACAATCCCTTGAGTTCCTAGAGATCTGGCTCCTGTAAATCACAAGCTTTCACAGACCACTGGGATTTTTACGCATACACACATATATGGAATGTTCTTCCATGCCAGAATGCCCGTTAAATAGAGAATCATTGGCACCTAAGTTGAAACGATACACCATAACAAAGCCAGACATGAAAAACTGCTTCACACTATAACAGTTGTTTTTAGGGGGGAACACTTCAGTAGAGCTAAAACAGACATCGCAAGCCCTGAGGTTCTGTATTTATCGACCATTATGAATGCATTAATAACGATGTAGTTTCGCGGTTAAATGAGCAAGAATGCTCAAGTTATTTGGAATGCTGTGGAAAGTTTACGCCTGGCGCAGAGTTTATTGGTGTAACCATATTTTTGCAGAGCACAGTGGTCTAATTACTCAGCTTCCCTTCTTCCTCCAGACAACATCTCGGAGGAGGGAATGTGACAGCAGCTACCACCTACAGCTGCTGGTTTCTTCGTGCTGAAACTCTTCAGATATATGCTTTGCTGTGTTATAAATAAAAAATCTTACAGCTTGCGAGGTTTCTGGCGAAATAAAGCCCCATTCATCACTACTTTACTTATCAACTTAAAAAATACACCACTGTCAGAAAGCCGTTCATTTCGGCTGAATCTAATGTAAGAAAAGAAGCAAGTTTCCATCCTGAATTTATACAGCGTAAATACAGCAAAGATACTTTTTCTTTTCTGCTAGGAAGCTGGAGTATGTTGAGAGTCTGGTAAAATTGTCTGGGTCAGTATCGAACGCAGGTGAAAACCTAAGGTGCATGTAGTTTAAGTCTTGAACAGAAGTTCTTTATCGCTTAATTATGATATCCAGATGGTATTTCCTGACTGAGAAATCATAGGTTAAACAATCTGGTGGGCATCAAAATATCGCAGAAAGTATTTTTTGATTTGCCGAAGGTGTTTTAAAATTCATGCCTGCAATTACCAAATAGATGCAGTCTGAACACGAAATGACATTTTGTGTCAAAACCGTTATCAAAATTGCAGAAATAAGAAAGCTGTTATTATTGAACGTGTATTTTTTTGCAAGCTGGCGAACAAATGAAGTGTGGAATCCTAGTCAGACGCACGAAGGGACATTAATCAAATATTGGCGATCGCTCGCGAAAATAAACGTCTTAAATCACTAAAGCTTAATGCTGTCTTGGTTATTAAGCTTTTTTCTATATTTTTCAATTGCCAAACGCTTGCTGGGAGACCCAGACGTTCAATGTACGTTTTGTGAGTCATGGAAACCTTAAAAAAGAACGCCTATTGTTGGCCACTATCCAATGAATATCAATGAAATAATCTAAAACTCAGATGGCATAGGACATTGTAGTTCACTTGAAACTGTTTATCCATGATGAACTTAAAATTACATTTGATATTTGGAGCACACTGGGTTTTATTCATTGGATGCCTGCTTGAGTGAATGTCGAATTTAAGCGGGCTATGATGGACGTTATCGCCTGTTGTTTCTAACAACCACATGCGTGAGAGGTCAATTAAATACATCGTACCAAGAGCTCTAGCCTTCTTTACTAGTTGTCCCCGATAGAGAATAGCATTAAACATTAAATGACAACCTACAATGGTGGAAGAACATCCTGGTCACCAGGTTCTCCCTAATGCCCCGTAAGGTGACGGCGGAAGGCTGATAAACATATAGCTAATATATAAAGGCTTTGAGGGTAAATTATAGTAATGTACATACGTAACACAATGAAGCCAACACTGATTGTTCTCTCAGGTGCCTTTATTTCAACAACTTTCTTTAAACTGAGGCAACGGGTAAAATCACCTGACCAAGGAAGATACATCGACGGTAAGTCCCATGGATCTGTTAAAACATCGTGATGAGTAGCCAGAATATATTAGCTTACATCTGACAGAAATTTTTCTGAATATACGTTCGACATAAAAGCGATAAGGAAAAGGAACAAAAATAGAATAGCGGCTTGAGTAAGTTTTGTGGGGAGGCTGTCTTAACCAGGTTGGAGTTCAATAATTTTAATACTGCAATGTATTTTCTGGAAGTCTGTTGGGCAACTGAGCATATTTCAGTGACTGACCGTTTCGTTATTTCTAGAATTTCATTCGCGGAAACAGCTTACTCGTCTAAATTACAGCCAGAAGTGTCACCAGCACGGCCTGTACTAACTGTGGCAGTTTGGATAAGAACAGTTCTTCGAAAAGTCCCTCATCGAACCAACGTTGGCCAATAACTTTCCTCATTCTCGTTAGCATGCCCACAGCCAACTGATCACCTAACCCCACGTTGCGGGATAATTCGTCCATACGCTGTCAATCCGTTAGTTCGTTTCTCTTTAGGAGGGTTGTTTCAAGCAACTCATGCGAGTCACTTACCTCTGGGCTGGACATCTGCACAGTTACGCACTTACAGAATTCCCGAAGTAGGGCGTGGACAAACGCAAGGGACTGTGAACGTTGATCAGTTATCCCATGCTCACTAAAATCAGACTCAGCTATCTAAAACCATGATTCAGCATTATGTGGGCAGTATGGTACGAACTGAATGGTTTTGGCAGTTGAACGTATACGAATGACCTTAGGATTATGAGCACTCATGGCGTAATATATTTTTTTAATTTTTTATTTACAGCTTGATTCCACACTGTATTTTTGGCACAACCATGGAATTTTCAGCATGGATATCGCCAGCCCAAATTTTGCAGGCCAACCATAGATATCAGGTGTGCGTCGGCAGGGGATCGAACCTCGGACCATGTGCATGGTAGGCGAGAGTCCTAACCACTGTGCCACCGACGCATAGTTTATAAATGGTGGAAGAACAAATACAAAATCAAATGAACTGACCGGATTTGTCTGTGTATTTACCAAGGGTGAAGCTCGCGGTAGGGCTCCTCAGTTTACAGCTCCAAGGTGTTTACGTTCACGAATGGTATGAAATATATTGAAGCAAGATCTAATACCAACAACTTTTATAGTATTCGTTCCGCGTAGACCGAAGGCAAGGCGAAACATCAGAACTGACCATCCAAATTACGAGTTATATTTCGGGACCGAATCTGAGTGTGAGATGTTTTTTTAACTAGGTGCAGATCGTGCGCGAACGAACGAACGTGACACGATGGTGTACCAATAATAATAATAATCACTTTATTCCACAACAATAAAAATTTACAGCATGGAATTTTCAGCGTGGATGCTTGACCGGAAGCCCTCAGCTAAACAAATCGACTAAAAATTGACAATACAGTGAGGGTCGGCATGCAGTGTTCAGTGATGAATGCTGTGACCAACAATTCTGAGGAATTACGTGTATTTTATTGGTTCATTACTTTCTCGGAAACCCGTGGTTATCGCATAATGAAATGAGATTGACAATCATACCTTTTTTCTTCAAGACTCCAAAACCTTCTAGAAACCTGCCAGTATGTTTTGAAAAAAAATTACCTCGTGTTATAGAGAATATTTTTTCTATGGAGCTCAGAGTTAAGCGTTTTCATCAAATGAAATTGGAAGTTTGTTTGCATCACTCAGGTTGCCAACCTTCAAATAGAGACTCCCAAACGAAAAAGACATTACAATTTCGCGTCTCTGAAAAATTCAGTTTCACTGTCACTGGAAATAATAATGGGATGTAACAATTCTAAAGCAGGTGAACAAATAGTGGAATCTAACGAGGGGGATGTTCAAAATGAGAATACAGAGCATGAACAGTCTAATAGAAATTTCATTGTGTTTGATGTGCATTTAGATAAGTGTACATCAGAAGGAGACAAAAAAGATGAAGCTAATGAAACCGCCAAATTGGAGTCAAAAAAACCTATGGTAAGATAATGAAGAGAGGTTCATTTTCGCAGAGACTTGCGCCGCTCCCAAATCCTCCAATTCTAACAGCAGAAATGATTGAAGAAAAGTTGAAAAAGGCTGAAGAGAAACGTGAACAAGTAGGGTCACCCATTTTTCACTGGTATTTAACCAAAGTGAGACCTATGATGATATGGGTAAACAACACTAACCCATTTCAATGATTTATTCTTTATAATCAGTCGGTCCCGAATCATAAAACCAGTGCACTTAGTAATTGGCGTAATTATGCTGATAAATGCATATAATATAACAGTTACACTCAGTAGATAAAATACTATCAAGACAACAAAAGCTATAAATAAATAATCAGGACTTTAGCTGACTTTTGAACTACTCATTTACCAAATATTAATCCATCAATGATGTCAGTTTCGTAACTGTTGAGAAATTTTTTCAACTTCTAAAAGCAAAGATTTGTTGTGAAAGTTAAGTGACGTTATTTCCTTGTTCCTAATTTCCTGAAATTATTGCACGCAAGTTCAAATTCGTCATTTAAATAGGTTAAGGATTATTGTCCATCTACCATACAGAAGAATATTTAGCTCTTGAAATAAACATTAGAAGATACATAGAAAATTCAGCTAATTCACAAACTTAAATATCTTTAATTAATACTGTTAGTTTAAATTTAATACTATTACCACTGATAAGATTAAATGCATAAAGAAAAACGAATATAGAAGAGGTTATGTACGATCAGTCTGCTGATTTTTCAGTTTGTGCTCGACACACATCATAAATTTATGTATAAAAAATAGATAAGTTTCGAACATACTTTTATCAAGTTCAAAGAGGTCCTCGACAGTAATCTTAAGTTATACAATTCAGGCTTGAGGTTAATGAGGTGATAAGAGGATTCACTGTTCATTGGGTAATCAGATAGATATTCTTGTTGAAAGGGAAATTACGGCATTGAGATGCAGACATCTTGACTACAAATAGTTGGTTATTAAAACGGGTTATGTAACTGCAAAGTTGTGTAACATTTGGGGGAACAGTAGGGTAAGAAACATTCAAACGAAAATATAAAATTTGAAGTGGAACAAAATTTGGAAAGGCAACATGTTAGTAACGAAGCCCGAAGTCAGTCAGACAGACTTCTATATAAGATGTGTTGATAGCATATTTTTCTTTACGATCAATGGATGCTGCACCCTTTGACCCAAGGTTTTGTATAGGCAATAAATAATATGTTCCACTTACCTGACCTTGGTATCTAGGAAGATGCAGATAGTGAAGTTTAAAGATATATCCAAAGAAAAGAGACTAGAAAGATATTTAACTTGCACCTTAATAACCTATGTCCTGTTAATTACACAGTTCTGTTCAGTCGAGTAATCAAGCCGTGATAAGAGAAAGAACTGAAAGAATTATCTACTATCGCGAAATAGCTAAGTGATGGTGTTTATCCGCAAAAGTCCACTAGCAGACATTGAAAATATAGTATGAAAGGTAAATTGTACCACGGCAAGGAAAGAGGTTGTATCTCTTCACCATGCATTCAGTGATGAAGAGGTTTACGTAGAATGCGGTGCAGGCCAGACGGTGATAGACCAGTCCGTTTGTTGCAAATAAACTGTTGTTAAGTACAAAACAATCTGATAAGATTCCGTTTCATTTCACCACTAACAGTATCTCTCAATTTACATTTATGTACCAAAGTACATACATTGTAAAAACAGAGGATATTTTTTGCATTTTCGAACACATACTAAGGCGTAGATATCTAGGAGCTAATAGGCACCAACCAGTGCCCCTTCTTAGACACCGGTCGTATTGCGCATAGCCGGAAATTGGCTAAAGTATTCAACAGTCCAAAGAAACTCATGATGTTAAGTTTTTCTGAAGAAGTCGTCGTCATACAGTTGAAATAAAGTGTTTAGATACTGTAGGAGACATTTGTATTGTTTCTTAAATATGTTTACTAAACAAAGTTGTTTAGTCTCAGAGATTTATTGAGTCTTCAGCATATTTTATTCTGTTAAACTCCAGTTTTTTTGTAACGATATTCACCATACTTTTCTCTCTGGTGCAAATTTCTAAAAATTTACAAAACATGTAATATTAACATATTACTTCTACATCTGTTCATCTTGTTTTTTTATACCTATTTTACTAAGTGTCCCTACGTCAAAATATAATAAGTGTTGTCTGTGATACTTATGGATAAAAGAATAAACACAGCTCATCGGTTATGCACAAGTTCTTCCTTAGAATAGTTATTCATCGCAGTCCTTTGATTTTCGATGACACCATCTTGTCATTCAGGTTTATTTAGTGTAGAAGTCATTTGAGCCCTCAAAATCCGACAGTCTAACATAATTTAAAATCCTTGATATAGGAATAAAACTTGTGCACTGTGGTAGAGCATAGTTCCATTATGGGCAAAATTTATTTTATTAAAGTCTCACAGTATTATACAGTAATATTTACTGATGACGTTTCGGGCACAGTTTATTGCTCAGGATTATATCAAGGTATGGGCAATAAATTGTCCTCGAAAAGTCATCAGTAAATATTACTGTATAACACTGTGAGACTTTATCAAAATAATTTTTACCCATAATGGAAGCTACAATCCCAACTAACATTAGTAAAATACGGGATTCATGTATGTATGAAGTAGAATTCTGTAATTTATTTTGCTGAGTGTTTATCCTTCGCAATGAATATTTTATTTTGAATTCATTCTTATAAAAGACAACAGCGAATTATGCTCAAGTTCATGAAACTGAGTGTTATTCTTTATTATTGTTAATTCCTAGAGGAACATAGGGCTTCAGCTGCGCTTTCGGTTTTCTGCCAACTTTTTCACCCCGCTGCAAGTCTGCCCACATGCTTTCATCTCCTATCCACATGGTATCCTCCAAGTCACCCTCACACCAACGACCAACTCGCCGCTTCCCTTTCGGGTTCCACTCGAGCGATGGCTTGTCTAGTGATGTCACTTGATGGTTTCCTCAGCGTATAGCCAATCCATCTTCATTTCTTCCTGCCTATTTGTTTCACAATCGGTTCCTAGTTGGTTTGCTAACAGAGATCTCTGTTTCTGATCTTTTCTGGCAGGTCATCTGATCCTGAGTATTGAGCGAAGACAGTTGTTGATGAAGGTCTGTAGTTTGTTTGAGATGCTGTTTATGACGCGTCAAGTCTCTGATCTGTATAGTAGCACTGAATTCACATTGGAGTTGAAAATCCGGATGTTATTTTTGATTCTGAGTGCTGCTGACCACCACACAGACTTAAGAGTAATGATAGCTTGTCTTGCTTTTCCGATTCTGGCTTTGATATCCTCGTCAGTTCCGTTGGCCTGTAGTTGAAACGATGTTTCCCAGGTAGGTGAAGGAGGTTGTTTCTCTCAGGTTCCTCCCATTTATGCTGGCTGATTGTTGTCTGTTGCTGTTGGCCAGGAATCTTCATCACCTTTGTTTTCTCTATTTTCACCTGAAGTCCTATCTTTGATGCTTCTTCTGCCAGCTTGTTGCTTTTCACTTGCATATCTTCCAGTTTGTGGGAAATCAGTTATTCTTTAAGTGAAACCTTTGTTTACTGACTCTGATTAATAGTCCACTGGTTCATTTAGATCAGTTAATTAATGCTTTTCATTACGTTCTGTCAACTATTACAACTCATTAACTTCTGGCTTTAGGTCCTAATTAACTTGGTTTAACAATAGAGTTGTTTTAGCTATTCCTTTACAGGCTATAATCTTATATTGCATAAATTCATATTCTAAACTGGTATTAATTAAACCATTAACATTATTCCATTCTCGATTTTTTTCGGTTTCATGCCTAGTTCCGTCTAAGTTTTGAACTTTGTTTTAAAACTTACATACATCTGAAATTACCTCCTGTTCATTGTGATTCCGATTAACACATTTTAAGGAATACTAAGCCAAAGATTTCATTCATAATTATATAACATATATATATATATAAGTCGAAATAGTCTACAAGCTTTACATTATGCTATTATAATCTACTGTCTTAATTTTGACAGGCCAAGTGTTGAGAATATGTCCAGCTTTCGAAAAACTAATTACTGCTAGGCCCAGCCCGATCAGGGGATCTGACTTATCTCCTGAATACTATTTTCCATACCATAAAAGCCAGCGAAGTCCACCAAGACAGGGAATAGAAAAGTTACTAACCTATAATATTGGTTGTTGGTTGTGACGAATATCAAGAATTAGTAGAAGTCAGGTTTCATTGGTTATTGGATCCGATCCTAGTGGCTGAATGGTTTGCGAGCTTGCCTTGTAACTGAAAGGTCCTGGGTTCGAACCTCAGTGGGTGCGCACTGATTAAAAATCCCAGGCTAAGACGAAACGGCTACCCAGTACTCTTTGGTTTTTCAGCAACACCCTAGCTGATGTCAGCTCATAATCAAACAAATGGCTAATCGGATCCCTGCAATGCAAATTCAACAGGGAATCTGGACCATTAAACAAATTGTGCAACACTGACCTCACTATGTCCTATGGAGTTTGATGAAGTTACAGACTACTTGAAGTTTTGTTAACATTGACCTCATTTCTGTTATTTGGGGTATCCTATCTAACAACTAAAACAGTAATATAAATGGAGGTAAGAACTAGATAACTTGCTAAGTCACAACAGTTTTGTTGCTCTACTGTTTATTGATTTCTTCATTTTAAGTAGATGTGCCAACTTGTTTTGTCATTTATATCACTACAGATTCCCACAATAAGTTTGAGAAAATATGTGTTTTAAGAACTACTTATAAGAACTAGTGAACTTTACAATACCACAGACACAAGATATGCAACCCTCAGATTTATTTCCCTGGGATGATTATGTGCTAATATCAAGCAACACTGTAACAACAGAACACAAGGGTTACGCAAAAGATCGTTTATTATGGAAATCAACACACATTTATAGATTTTCAAGTACATATTATAGATTATTGTTAGCAGAAAAACAGTCTTCTGATTGTTTTTTTTTCTCACAGAAAGTTAACCTTGCATCTCTTTGTGGCTGTTTCTTGAATGTCAGATCACCTATATGTTAACCGTATCCGCCTACGCAAAGCCTTTGTTCTCATTATTCTCACGACCAATACTGGGGACATAAACATTGACGTAAATTACTGTCCACTAACTTTGGCTAACAACCAGCTCTCACCACAACATCAATATCACCCGAGTGCTTCAGTATACTTCTGATATTTGGCAAGTCACCGAAAGCATTTCTTACAGGATGCGGACTTCATTCAACAGCTGCCTTCGTTCCATACTAGGCACTGAATAGACAGAGAGTAGTAGCAACAAGGAACTCTGGTTACGAACCAACCAATAACCCAGCCTAAAATGTACACCGAAGAAGATGGAGACGCTGAGGAAACAGTCAAAAACATAATACGTCAGGGCCTCGAGTGGAACCTAAATGAGAGATGAACTAAGTATCCGGGATTGATATGGAAGAGATTGTGTGGAGAGACGAGAGCTTATAAGAAATTGTGGGATCACCAATAAAGGACTGCAAATCAAAAGGTGGACTGGAGATGAACTTTTGAAGCCTAATGTTCCACTGGAGACCCAAGAAAAAATAATAAAACTTTGCAGCACATCGGTTTTGATTGACTGTGTATATTTCATCCGCCTTTATACGCAACATTTCAATTTTAATATAGATTTCGTGTATAGAAACAGATAAAATAAGTGATAAATTTCAGTCAACTTTGAGGGACGACTTTAAACTGGCACTGTTTTTCTACCAAAACAATGTGCTACATCCTTCTATATGCAAAAGATGGCTTGCATGCTGTGACTTTTAGGCCTATAGACCTAGAGTAAATAATCAGACAATTAACAGATATTTAGTTTTGAAAACAGAAGTCTTTCCCAGAGACAGAAAACAATTTTCATTTCTGCGACGAAATCCTTTGATAGTACATATGTGACGTAAGAAACCCAGTTGTCAGTTGGCTTAATTTACCCAATATTTAGCCATCGTTTCGAGTGTTTTTTATGAATTATTTACGTCTACTTTTCAGCTGTTGGCTGCTCGTCGCCTTTCATGTCAGAAATCAAAGCAGTTCCCACCGGTACTATTGTTACAAGGAAGGACACCTTTGACCAATTCGGAAAGTGAGGTATGTATGTAGTTTCCGCTCGTGTTCATCTAAAACACTATCAAAATAAATGTACTTCAAACAACAATGCTTGACATATTTTCACAGGTAAAGAACCAACAATCATCGAATTTCTGGATGTATAATTTGTCCGGAGATGATACGATCACAGACGAACAACTGGATGAGATTCTCAAAGTTGAAGAAACTCAGTATGTTTTAGATGGTAAGATATAATTAAGAAGTGATGAGTTTTTTAAATTGTGATTCATGACTGCACACTGATGCTGCTGTCAGTATTCAGACTCAAACGAGAACCTCGTTGCAAGACTACTTAGAAAAGTCTACATGATTAACTCTATAAAAACTTACAAATCAAAAATCATAGGCAACAGAATGTCGTTACTTGAACGCTCATGAATACCTCAAGATTGCAAAGTGAAATATTTGGTGAAAATGCTTAAAACGGCACGTCATCGGTTAAAATTGTCTGCCGTCTACTAAATGGGCCAGAAATGTGAAGTCAAACTCCTTACGTGATATTTTGTAGTCATAACTATAGGAAGTAAAACTCTTGTTTTAATAATTATTAGTGTTGATATTTCCTTGTTATAATCAGGTTAGATATTTTGCTTCAAGTCGCACCGTCCTACTTTGAACACACGAAGTAGATAGATCGACATGTCACTGATTTAGTATCCCGTTGGTACATAAATCTACTACCCTAAGAACTAAACTGTGAAGCTGTTACCAGAGTTAGCTTGTCAGTTGTTTTCTACTGAAATTTTTATCACCTGTTGTTTGTTTTCAAAACTGACTTTATCATGTCATGGTCTACTAGTACATAAGTCTTTTTCTAAATAACTGGGTGAAAAACGCAAATACTCTAACACGGATTGACCAGCTCATGACAAAATTTTGTCAATGAAAACCTTCCGTTGACGCCAGATCGAGTTCTTGAATGACTAACATGAACACCCAAAAGGCTTTCATACGTAAAATATCAAATGACGTACAATAAGTCACACAGCCTAGATTTTCAAGGATATTCACGGATGATAACCATGGTAAGACTTCAAAAACTATTGTCTATCAAACTTCCAACTCCAGTCCTGCTGGTTTAACGTTTTGTTTTACACCATATTATCATACATCTGAATTTCTTAGAAAGGGTTAATTATTTTAAAATAATATCTAGGGAAAAGGTAACTTTTGTACTGAAATAAATATTCTTTCTGTATTGTTTACTTAACATTAAATATTATTATCACCTTTTCTTGATGATTCACAGATTCGAGTGATCAAGACTGTCCAGTTGCAAATTAACAAAAGTTAAAACTAAGGGGGTGTTTTCAGTTGATTTGAATATAGTGGGAGACATAACTCACTTACTTCATTCCACATGAATTTCATGCTATTTGTGGTTAACAAGTCCTCATAATTAATGAGGCATTCAGCCACATCGATTCAATTGATGTGAGAGACAAATATAATAATTTTCTGAAATCTTAGTTGCCTTTTGAAATGCTAATGAGCTTTTGTGCACTACGATCTTTCACCTCGGCAAAAAATTTATAGTGCAACCTGATATACACGCGCATCTCTGTAGGTCATTCTTACTATAAGTACCAAGAAATGCCACCAAATATTTTCCCATGCTGGTGCATAATAACTGCTTGATATTTCGCCCGACAGCTTGACACTTACAGTGTTAGTTCATCGTACATCATAAACCAAGAGAAGAGATTTACCAGTGTTTGTAAGGACATCAATTCACTGAGCTGTATCAAAAAGTTAAGTATTTAATAGATGCAAAAGCATGAAGAAAGCGTTTCAACCGCTCTGAATTACTTTGACTCTTAATAGCTTATCCATGTACTATAATGTAATAGCGACAATGTACAGTGATACGCGATTACACACATTCTTTAACACGGGCCCGGAAGAGTTGTTAAACTAACTGCTGGACGTTGAGATGGACGGTAAAATAGACCGAGGGAAAAGGAAGTCAGCAGAACTCATTTACAGCGTGTAGGAATTAGAAATCCTAAACATTTCTGGGGTGACATGGCAAACTATGCTGACGATCAGTTAAAGCTCAGAATTACGTCAGACGAACAAATGACTACAGTATTATAACGAAGATGAGATTGAATCCTTAGTAGAAATAAACTTCAATAACCAGTAGGTCATCTGAGAGCTTTTCATGCGTGATGAAACCCCTTAGGACTTTCCCGATACCACGTCCGCTCTGAAATATATAACGAAATCTATCAACTCATCATGTTTAACTTGAGTTCCCATGCATCAGATATTACTGCACAGTGTGAGGGCAAATGCCATGAGTACTACAAACACGTAAACAGCTCTTATGCAGTCACCAGACTAACATCTATACCGAGCAACGAAAAAAAAGTAGGGAATTTCGGATCGCTCCACTGAGACCTTGTCTACCCTACACAGTATGCCTGTGTTCAAGACGTCACGTCAGCATACTTTCATAAAACTTTGGCATTCTGCGCGTTTATCCGGAGTTAGTTTGTAATCCACAACAAAAGTGAACAGACCCGAAGTCCGCAACTTAAAAAAATGTGTTACCAGTAACCAAACCCGATATAATCTGCATACCGATTAGAAGACATACAGATCACATCCACCCTTATGTTGAATCGTTGCGGGTAATCAAATATGGCGATAACCAGTACCGACCAGCAGTCAGTACGGAGGTCAAATATTCTAACACACAGCAGGCCAGTGTTTCCTGGAACGACAAATATATTAGGGGTTGAAACAGTCAACGCAATTACATGACGAAGCAAAAATATCATTGCAAAACCACCTTTTGGTTATTTCCACCGAGTGGTTATCTGCACGCTAATACTAGACACTGCCTGTGTGGTTCAGAGCGAATGGTGAGTGGGTGACACTCAGGCCAGAAAATAATTCCATAGGGTGCAAGCCATCGAAGAATAATACAATGCAGCGAAATAAATTCATCAAGTGACTGCCTCAAACCACATAACAGAATGAGGAAGGACCTTGTTGAAATGTTATATGGTCAGTAAAGAACTTAGTTAACTATATTCTCAATAGCACTATGAAAAGGAACTTGACCAATGTGTTTTGAGTTAGAGGACGCCAAACGACTGATTTCGTAAATGCTATCATAGATGTCACCTACAGCCTGTTACTCGTTCCACTCGACTGACTGTCGTCATGAGGCACCTCGAAGCAACTACAAGCTTGAATACTACATGAATTACTCAGTAGAACAGTTGTCCACCTAGCCATTGAAATATGTGGGGACGCATATGGCTGAGGCCCAGTAAAAATACAAACTCATACGTATCCGAACACTTTATTGAGAAACCCACTACCGGTTAGACTTTGCAACGCGTTCTAATTCATCCTTCTTCTTGATAGCGTAGGAATTTGAGCTCCCCTTAAGTTCAAAGTTGAGAAGAAAATGTACAACTTACTTTGGCTGCGTTTAATAGCTCGTCAGCTAGACATTCAGAAATAGTTTTCACGTTTCTAAAAGCTGCCTCTCTAGCTCCAGTACACAACAAATAAATTGCCTGGTTAACTCGACGTAGAGGTGAAACATCCACAGCCTGACGTCTGACAGTACCACCACGACCAATACGTGTTGAATCTTCTCGTGCCCCACTGTTCAGCACTGCACTGACAAGGACGTTGAGAGGATTCTACAAATGAAGTACGAGACTGTTAGGATTTTTTATCAGGAAATATTTGAAATCGTTTTTATCATACGAACGAGACAAACTCATCATTTAAAGTATTACATAATTTTACACTCTTCTTACCTCACCAGAGAGCAGATGAATGATTTCGAACGTATGCTTGAGAATGTTCATTGCCTTCACTTTCTTGCCATTATTACGCCCATGCATCATAAGAGAACAGCACATACGTTCTACCAGAGGACATTGTGCTTTTCTGAACCTCTTGATCTGGTAGCGGCCGGCTGTATGAGGGACTATGGGGTTGTTTTTCCGTTTGATATTTATGAAATCCTAAGGAATGTAAAAACTATGTATCATAATATCCTACAGTTAAACTGAGATCGTTGACATACACATCATCGGCACTCCACTTCCCAAAGAGTTTAATCTCCTGCTCAGAATCCATGCCCACAAACACGCATGAAGAAAATGTCAAAGTGAGCGCCACTTAGTCTCGGTCCTTCTATTATAACAAATAGTGAACGTTTTATCGGCGTGGGGAAACTATGTTCAAGATTTGGTCTTGGAAAGGAGTTATGTGATGTCAAGACATAAAAAAATTTACTCTAGCTAAAACCTATTCTTTTTAATTTTCGTGGTTCGTATAATTGTGTCTATACATCGTGTGGTCGCCGAAATTAAACGCCATGTCCACATGACAATTCGAGAAGCTGAGTAAATAACTCATCAGTGAATTTAGGCATATAATAGTCACGTATTGCCTAAGGAAGCGACAAAACCTGTAGAAAACCTTGTAAAATCAACACATATCACCTAAAATGCATGTAGTGTGTGTACTCTTCTAGTACACAGTTTTCACTACTTATGCCAAATACGGATGGGTTATTCGTTGCTGCCATTCTGACCTCGAAGAGTGAAGTTTAGCCCATAGGTGTTATCATTTATGAACCGAATTTTCATTTCGATTTTCAGATTGAACACAAAGGTCCAAACACAGGTTAGTATATGTGAAATGCTATTATTTTGAAGGTGCGTCTTTTTATACAAGCTCCCTGAAGTAACTGTGTCAAAACTGCTTGCTTAATGTGAAGAGCACTGCAAATGAAAGGTTTCAGTGAAACGGTTGCATTGATTCCATATAAAAAATGGGAGTTTGTATTAAGATAAACACCATTATATGCTTCCAAAAGGGTAGAACTTGTTACCTAGTGACGACGCCAAAATATAAGTTTGGTACACATCGAATATTCAGAGTAGAAGCTAACAACTTATACCATCAGTTAAACAACGAACAGTGTCTTTCTGTAGATGAGTGTTAATTTCATCAACAAGTATCACATATGAATCTTTGATATTAGGTAGTTGGGGACAATCGGCAGGAAGAATTCGACTCAGGTTTCCTGCCAGTTGTCACCCGTCAACAAAGCGTATCTGCAACCTTGAATTCAGTCTGCAAACAAGAAAGGACTAGACATATTACACTGTTTTCTTTCCAGTGTCCAATCAAAGTTACACATATTCTATTTATTTTTAAGCATAAATTTGTTGTACACCCACCTGGTCACCAAATTTCTTGAAAGAGAATTTGGCTTGAAACCTCACTTAATGTCGTATCTGCAAATGATGCACTGCACTCGATGATCTCATTTTTATGTATGTTTTGAGAATAATAAATAGTCAAGAGCTTCTAAAATAATCATAATCACCATCTTTTTGAACTGTAGCTGCTTATCTCTTTTGAATCAAGTCCTTAAAATCATATGTTAGGTTGTTTTGGTCCACATAAAAACATCGGACACTTGACTAACAGCTGTCAGTATCTGATATTTGAATTCTACACTCCACGCGACGTAGCTAATAAGCTAAAGATATATAAAGCCTGTAGATCAGTGGTAAACATAGATAAAGGATATAAAGGGCACGAAAGCTTGGGAGCGCTGACTCTATAAGTAATATGCGATGCTTGGTGCGAGCTCCATTAACATTTACCTGCCTCATTTCTTAATCGTGACCAAGATTTGGTTTCTTACTACTGTATGTTGTGACAGTTATCCCTGCATTTTTGCTGATTGAATAGCCTTGGATATCTGATTCTTCGCTAACATATTGCTTGTTTATGGTAGGCGGTCATTACGTAATTTGTTCACTTCACAGAACAATTTAGAAAATGGGTATTCTTTGAACAGCAGACATATTATGGCTTCGGTTATTAGGTTAAGTTCCATAGGTATATGACAATGCTACCAGCCACCCACTAATTCATTTCTATCAATGGGTCTATTTTATGGTCTCGTTTTGTCACGCCCCCACCAATTGCTTTCAGTACTTTCCCCGAATAGCCCCATAGTTCAGCAGCAGAAAAGTGGTGAATCACTGCCATACACTATTGACACTGTCTAGAAGATCCACTTAACGCTAAAAATGGTAGTACACCACCGATATGTGGACAAGACTGATACTACATTTCATACTGTATTCCAAAAGCAATTTTAGTACATCTGTGATTCAAGTAACCTGCCTGGTTTGACGAAAACTGGCCTTAAGATCACGTATTTTTGCACACAAACTCACAAGATAATGTATTTGGTGTCGTATGACTATTAGGCATGACGAAAATGTATGACGAACAGGAAACTTCTCAGAAGGAATCTAAAGTAAATGAGCACTTACCTGGGGAGACTTCAACAACTTTCCGAAATAAATATCATGATAAACCAACGATTTTAAAAAGTCCGTACTGATTGTTGTTAGGAGTACCTTATTCCTGCTATAAAATAGTTTACACCCACGGGTCTCAGGAGCTTATTAGACGTGTGGATAATTCCACCGTTTCAAAAACTGGTCTTCCGCCGGTGTGCGTAGTGATTGAACAGACTGAAGATTGCCACTAGAGCTTAAGATTGTCAAATGCTAGTTTCGGGAATGATGCCAATGCCGTTGCTTTAGACTACCGGCATATGGCCTATAAGAAGAGCTCAAATGCGAAGGGCTGTGGACAGATAAACAGGTGTGAGTGAGTGACATAGTAAAACAGTTTTTGAAATTTCCCTTTTTACACGTCTGTTTGTATTTCCCCCAACCCATTTTTAACCTTTGGAATCCTATTGGTCGTTGACTGTTCTATTTCTCTCAAAGCATTCAAAGCATATACGTACACGCAAGCTCTGTCAGTCATTCTCACTGTTGAAACGAGACTGTAAAAGCTTTTAACACCAGTAGTCAGTCTTCTCTTCTTGTTTTCCTGCGTCGAGTCTTCTGTGGCATCGTATCGTGTTGTTTTTGCCAATTGTGGTTAGAACAATAGGCTTGCGAATCGACTAATTAGGAAATTATTGAACGTAACTACCAAGTGTAATAACTGCCATATGAGAATCCCCCGGGCCATATCTGTGAGTTCCAATGTCAAGTGTAATCTGTGATTCGTTCACTCCACTTCCTCCGGACTTAATGGTAATATGGTTTCGTAGAATTCACTAGATAGTAGATTTATTAATGATCTGGATAAGCATTCAATTTCGGGCCTTCTTGTCTTTAGAAATGTGAACTAAGTAATAAAAATTCTCTGCACGTAAGGCTACCATAGTTAACACTGGTGATAGAATTCTCTCAGCTGGCCGTGAACAACACCCTGCTCTATTCTAGAATCATTGTAATATCAACATAAATAAATTGATCACTCACGAAAACACAAAGTCTAAAGGAGCATTCAAGCATGCAGCATACAAAGAAGATTCTTGGAGAAGGTTGCTGGATAGCGGAATATTTCCGGCAAAACCAACAAAATGTAAAGCATTCCGGCTACTCAAAAATAATGAGGCCTCTAAAGTTATTTTGAGGGACCAGATATTTTGCAGAAGTCGAGACAATGGCAGTTTATACATATTATAACACTAAGAGTGGAAAGATATACTTCCCCTCGTTGGAATTCATCAGCTATGCACACTTTCCTGGCACAATGCAGCCGCGCGCTTCGTGTAGGACGTTACAATCTCTCCATATATTGTGGAAATAATCTTTCGCATTCTGGAATATCGTGGTCTATATTTGACTACTATATAATTATAACTGATATTGTTTGCACCTCCGGTAGCTAAATATCCAAATTTATCACATACAGGATACTGTTTGGATCCACTCAAATTTGTGTTAATAAAGAGCAATCTATCACAAAAGAACTATAAAGAAGTACTTATGTCAATGTAGTTGAAGACTGAACGATCAATTCATGGTTGTTTGCTCAAAACCGACTTCCCCAATTTTCGCAGAGGCATCAATACGACAGTCATCGTCTCATCGGTCGCTGTTCAGAAAGAAGTCAGCAGACAACCATCAGAAGTAATCTTGTGATTTATTATTGTAATATTTGTTAACAGACCTTAGTGGAAACATTTTTTATATGTTGGTGTTACAATAAAGAATTCTCGAGTGGCCAATCGGTGTTTTGGTTTTTGCGTCCGTAATTACTAAGCGTTTCTGAGAAACTTCAAGGAACAGCGTGAGCCCGAGCGTAGCAAGAGCTGGGCATTAACGGTTTACGAGACGTGGCTGACACCTTAGTTTTGTGGTTTATATTTATTAGAGTTAACTTGTTTGATAGTGGTCTATTTTTAGTTCGTATTTTACGCATTCATACCTGTTTATCGTTGTTTTATCTATTTAGATAATACATCAGCATATCACACACTTTTATCAGTTTTTGAGAAATTGATATAGTCTTTACCCCCATAATGGTTATTAAAGTTATTAAACGAGTTAGTACTGTTAAGAGACCAGCATCAAATAGTCAGCAGCTCACTGAAAACATTAGTCCTGACGACGAGTTTGCACTAAGATCAATCGATACACCGAGAGTTATAGTACCAAACTTAATGGAAGAACTAATTGATAACGTAGCCCGTAACACTAGTGATCTAAAGATCCTTCAGAAATCCATAACAGACCTGCAGGATAAGTTTGAAAGTATCACTCCTCTCATCCAACTTTGTGATCCATCACAAGAAATTTGCCTAGATTCACTTCTCAAATCTGAGCGCCTGCTAGACTTTTTGACTGCAGGGGCTGTAAAGAGGGTCATGTCCTCATATGATGTCTTAGGATATAACATACCAGACAATGTACCTATTGTCAAACTTAAAGCAATCTGTCTACAGGCGTGCAACATTTCACTATCTGACTGCTAGGTTCTGCGTCTGCGTAAGAAATCTGCAGACCACACATGTCCTGTACTTTTCGAATTTAAGTCTGTTGACCTAGCTAAGAAATTTTTGGAGTCTGGTATAACTCTTGGCTCCTCAACACCCTACACCAATATCAGGATTGTACCTGATTTAACTTCTTGCCAAAGACGATACCGCGCAGGTAAACTAAATTAAGACAACCCCAATAAGACAACCGATGTTATTACTTCCCTCGTTGTATTGCCTGATGACCAAGAGCGCCAGATAA